TGCTGCTTGGCCTGCTGTGTTCATCCAGCCCTGCACCACCTTGTCTCCAAAAGTAGAGTTGTATTGGATTTGAAACATTGACACTTACCACAGATGTTGCCAGTTCAAAGTTTCACTAGTGCTGTTTTTATTTCATAACACAACGAGAAGCAGAACTCCAGTTAAGATAAGGGCAACAACTCAAAACTCAACTATTTAAGAGCTGTATAAGAAAATTCCCACTTAAGTTTGACAATTATTTTCAACTTGAGAGATGTACAAAAGTAGTGTTTTAGGTGTGCTTTTGTATTCCAGGCCTGCCTACTTCTGTCACTGGAGAGCACTTACCCTCCTGCGCATCAACTGTCCCTTGACATGCTGAAGGTAGGAACTTGCACTCAGTTTTTTCACTTCCCCTTTAAGACTACTAAAATAATCCCCAAAATGCTTTCTGGCAACATTTTACCTAATTTGGATTCCTTTAAAAAAGGTGTGGATTGTAGGGGGTTCAATGGCATTCACTGGATCCTTAACTGAATGGCATATATAGTGTCCACTTACCCATTCTCTGAATCAGTCTTTTCTAAAACTATAAAATAAAAAAAGGAGGCTGATATAACTTAAAATGTTGTTTCCTTTAGTCATTGTTGACCAGTCTTTACCTAAACTCCTTTGAGGGTGAGGTGGAAATCTGTGCCAGATTTTGTTAGCCATTGCAACAAAACACAGTAAAAGCAACCCAAAGTACTAGCAGGGCAGTATAAAAAGCTGTGTATTATTTTTTTTTTTTTAAAATTTAAAAACTTGCCAAGAACCAAAGACTGTGGCACAGAAGTAATCACTGCTGAAATATGGTGGGGAAGTACTCCTGCTACAACTGAGTGTATGACCTCATTCAGAAAGAGCAGAGTATGTCACTGGCTCTCAAGATTGTAAGAAATGAGAACAGCAGGCTGTTCAATAGGATCATAGCTCATGTCCACTTGTCTGCCTTTTCCCATAACCTAGGGCCAAAAGGCCGGTTTTGTTCTATTCCCCTACTGATCAAAGATTATATCTCAGCCTTAAAATTTACACTGTGCACCCCCTCCAAAAGGGCACTCAACCCAGAGAAGAAATTCCCCAGTCTTAAAATTTGTTACTTTATTCTGAAACTATGCCCTCTGGTCCTGGACTCTCCCACGTCGGAATATTCTCTCAGCATTTACCCTATCAAGTCCCTTAAGAATCTTAGTTTCAAGGCAATGCAATCACCTCTTTAAAAAAAAAAAAAGTCCCAATTTAACTTTTTTCTCCAAGGCAATCCCTGATATTTCTCCAATGAAATCTTTTAAAAAGGGAACCAAAACTGCTCTCCATACTCTTGATATTGTCTTCAACTGTACGAGGTGCTGGTGAGACTTCTCTACTCTTATTCCAACCCCCTTGAAATAAAGGCTAAGGGAATGTTGGCCCTAATGATTACCTGCTGCACTTTAAAGTGAATGTTCTTATTCCTTCCAAGTTTGCTAATTCCTATTTGAGCATACAGAAACTGGAGCATCTCACCCAAAAAAAAAAACCAACTGCTGCAGGGTAGATCAAACATTGTACCAGCTGTAGAGAAGAAAGTAATTTGTCTCAGTACTGCCTAGTTTTGACATAAGCACCTCAACTGTAACTACCACTTAATTTTAGCAGCCTACATAAGTGTAAATTAAGTCTGCTTCCATTAATTGAATCATAGCTCTGGTTCACTGTCCAGACCAGGAAGACCCTGGTTTTGGTCTGAAAGCTGGTTTCACCTACTGGGGCAAAGGGCCTGGTATTGTAATTTGATTGCTACTTGTGGGGAAAGATTTGATTCATTGTGGTCATGTGTACTACAGTGCAGTGAAAAAAAAAGTACAGGCAGATTAAAAAAGACAGCATAGCATAAAAAAGTTCTACAGGGAACCATTCCCTCTGACATCTTGGCCCTTCCTCTATTCCTACCCTGAAACACCTTCCCCTGCAACTTGAAGAGTGCAACACCTGCTTAAAATTTACTTCCTGACTATAAGTTAAAGTAGCAAGGTACGTTGTAAAGTGCAGGTAGTGTGGTTACTGCTCATTGACATGTCAGCTTTGTGAAGAGGGAGCATAGATTGTGCTTCACAGGAGCACACAGTCTAAATGAATGACCACAGAGCTTGTTGCCTGCTGTTTCAATGATCCTTGGCCAACATCATGACTCAGTGAATCTCAGCATGCTACAGAAAGCAAAAGCAAATATTGGAAGAACAGCACCTTTGTATGTGAGCCCTTCAGTCTTGACACAAGAATTTCAGGGCTTGAGAACCTTCTCCCATGTCCTTATTCCCAAGCCCCACACAGCAACCCTTGTTGTAGCAGCCTCTGCTACAACAAACTACACTGTCAGCCACTAAATGGCCCTGTTAACAGCTATTGATTGTCCCAGGCTGCCTTTTATCCCACACCTTTATTCACACAACTGTTTGAGCTGTCTCCAACTAGAGTTTACCTAGCTGCATATTGTGGGGTGGTGCAAAAAAAAAAAAAAAGCAACTGGTAGTCAGTTCTGAAGGATGGTCACGACCTGCCACAAATTGCTTTCTCTCTGCAGATGCTGCCAGATATGTTTTTCCAGCTGATTTACAAAAAGCTATATGCACTTTTATATACTTAGGCCTATCTCCCTTTTACTTTAAGCTACAGGTCAGCCACAGTAGAGAGGGGCTGAATGGCCTACATCCATTTTTAGTTAAACAGCCACATGGCAAAAAAAAAAAAAAAACCACATTACAGATGGGAGCACTGTCCCGAGTAGGTAACATCACAGTCAGGAATGGGTAGTATTGTCCTTGTCAGAGATATTCTGAAAGTGAACAAAGACAGAGGCACTCAGGCTGTTGTCTTATTGTTGTCAAACTGGTCATTGCTTCTTGAAGGGAAGCGAGCCTGAAGTGATAATCTCATTGGAGTATTATCAAAATGTCCTTAGCAACATTCCCAAGATTGCACTAGTTGACAAATGTAGTCAGAGTGTAATTCTTCCAGAGAACTGGAAAAACACTTAAGACTTAAAATCAGGATGAACAAGTAGATTTCTAATCTGTCTTTTTTTTTTTTTTAAAAACCTTGTTGCAGCGACTCTCTACAGCCAACGATGAGATTGTGGAAGTCTTACTATCCAAACATCAAGTTTTAGGTGCCTTGCGGTTTGTTCGTAGTGTTGGCAGCCATGATAATATATCAGCACGCAAGTTCTTGGATGCAGCTAGGCAGACTGGAGATGCAATGCTGTTTTACACCACTTTCAAATTTTTTGAACAGAGGAATCAAAGATTACGAGGAAGCTCACACTTCACACCAGGTGAGTAAAATTGAGAAGTTCAAGGGGGCTTGACAGGGTGGATGGGTAAGGGGATATTGCCTACTTAGACAAATAGGGATAGAGATAGAGGCACTTGAAAGGATCATCCAGTTAACTGAAAAAAAGAGTGAAGCAACCATTCAGGGAAATAGCAAGAGGCAAAAAAAGATCAGTAATGCAAAACATGACAAATCTAATCCCAGGTTACTTCAATTTCAGGAGAGCATTGTGAAGAGCATGTCACCCACTTCAAAAACCTTTTTGGAGAACAAGCACTTCTGACATCCACAATGATATGAACTCTGGACACCGAAACTTTATTAAATATGCATTATAAAAAGGCCATAAAATTATCCACAATTTTAGCATGTATTAAAAAAGTCACTTCAGTGTCAAGTGGTCAACCAGAAAAATGCAATTTGTAGCCTTCGATTCATTAATCTGTTAAGTTACCAATCCAATGAACTTGAAATAAATATTTCTGCTAACTTACAATTTCCTGAGTTCAAAGTAACAATCTGCATTAAACTGCAAATAGTTCAAAATACTTCATTTAGGATCTGTCAGTCCTTTTTGCAAAAGCTCTGATTTACTTTAGCAGGTGCTCCTTTTCAGTGTTCTTGTAATGGTTTTGCAGAGCATAAACTTTCCCTTTGTTCATTGTTGGCCCTAGGAAAGTTAACAATTCAATTAATACTTACAAATTCCAGAAACATTTGAACAATGTAATGAGCAGAAGTAGAATTTGCTTACTGTAGAAAGCAAAGTCTTAGAGGGACACTGATACTTGTTTAAGATAAGAGTCCAAAGAATGACTGGTAGCCTATGGGTTGTTCATAAGTTAGGTGCTGTTTACAGATAAAAAGGTGGCTCTTTAAAGAGAAGTGAGCACAGCCAGTTTATCCCATCTGATCCATGTACCTGCAGACTTCAATCTTATCTATGCCAATGATTTCATAGGGTACCCAAAAATTAGTGGAAACACTGAGGCTGACTGTTTAAAACTAGGTTTTATTGCAGCCACCACTTAAATCATTCATGCATATATTCAGATATCTTCATGTATCAATTTTTGGATGTGGTTTTGTACTGCCTCAGAGCAAGTGTCTGCCATTCCATTGCTTCCCTTCAATTTCATCAGTTCCATATACTGATGGTAGCATCTAGCTTGCTATTTATCCAATTGAAGTCCCTTCTCAAAGAAAAGTCCTTAGCCTAGACTCCAGGGAAGAAGACCTGGGTTTCTAATACTTAGCCCTAGCAACCCTGGTAATATATAGTTTACCACATACTTGGTAAACTATAAAAAGTGATTAGTAGTCAGATTCACTGGAGCAAATTATTCTAGTGGTAGAAAATCTGTCCACTCAGTTAGTAATCAATGATTGTCAATTGTAGAAAGAACAACTTGTCTTTCTATGATTCTTACCTATGTAACTCAGCAAGACTGGAAGGAATACGAGACCATGAGCAGCTCCCAAAAGCACTATTGCCAAGTACATCCTGAAGTAGAAGATCTGGAAAATCTGGGATTTGGCGAATGCCAGGACCACAATACCTCCAAACTTAGTCAGGGTAATGCCACTAAACACCTGGTGAGGAAAGACAAAATATCTCATTCTGACTTTATGGAATGTAAGCACAGACCCTTCAGTCCAACTTGTCCATGCTGACAGTTTCCCCAAACTAACCTGGCCCACATGCCTGCATTTGGCAGGCATCCCTCCAACCCTTTCCAATTTGTCAGTGTGTCCAAATATCTTGTTTAACTGTACCTTCATCTACTTCCTCAGGCAGTTCATTCCATATGAAAGCCACCTCAGGTCCTTTGAGATCTCACCTTAAAATTATGCCCTTTTTGAACTCACCCACCCTAGGGAAAAAGGCTTTTGATATTCACCTCAGTGCTCCTCATGATTGTAACCTTCTATAGAACTACCCCTTCAGCCTGTGGTGGGGGAGGTCCCAGTTCTGGCAGCAACCTGGTAAGTCTTCCGAACTTGCTCCAATTTAATAATGTCCTTCCTATAAAAAAGGTGACTAGAACTGTACATGGTATTCCAAATTTGGAATACCAATCTGTATGACAACATGACATGACATCAACTTCCATACTCAAGTGTTCTCAGCAATGAAGGCAAGTGCACCAAACAAACACCTTAGTCATCCTGTCTGTGATGATAAAAGTTTACTAAAAAAAGCTTTGTACCCAAACACAGAGGTACATTAGAGAGCACTACCATTTAGGTGTGCAAGTCCTGCCTTATTTTATCCAAATTAAAACTCCATTTGACACTCTTCAGCACATTAGCCCAGTTCATCATAATCCCTTTTGACACCAGTATTGTTAGTGGATGTCAGTGACTTCTCTAATCATGCCTTCCATATGGTCATTTACAGACATGATTGGGATGAGAAACATGGACCCAGCACAGATTGTTGAATACCTTTGGTCACAAGCCTCTGGTCCTAAAAGCATCCCACCACCATGTCTCCTACTGTCAAGCTGGTTTTGTATCCGATTGACAAGCTCCTGAATCCCATGGGATCTAACTTTAGTAACCAGTCCAGTACACAAACTTGTTCAAGCCTTTAAACCAAGTCCATGTTAACAGCTACTGTTCTGCCCTTAAAGTTGGAGACAATTTTCCCCATGCATGACACTATGCTGACTATCCCCTCTCCAAATGCATGCAAATCCTGAATCCCCTCAAAAAGTACCCACCACATGCCAGACTCAGTCCAATTCCCCAGGTTCTCTTGAAGGCACAAGATTAGCCACCCATCAGGAGGAGACCTTAGAAACCAGAGAACTCTAGTACTCAAGGCTGCTGCCAGGGGAATCCCATGATGGGTCCAACCTACCCTAGGAGGCTACAGCATTAGGTTCAGGAGCAAATGCTGGCCTTGTCAAAAGCTTCTGAAATTTACCAGATGGAGATGTTCCCAAGGAGGGGTTTAAAGATTGCAGATCCACGTTTGCTAGTTTGAAGTTAGCAGTCATAGATCTGGAGTGGAATCATCATTTTAAATATTTACTTACAGAACTGCCCATATTTGCCAATGCTTCCTCAGCACGCTGCACTCTGGTTTGCTTGAGACTGACTGAAAATGCTCGAACAATATGGCTACAGAACTCAACTGAAATACCACAGCACTGGAGGGAAAAAAAAAAGAAGTTATGGCATATCCATTTTATTGCCCGAGACCAAGCCAGCAGCCTGATTTTAATCACAAGTTATTACTTCCAATACAAGTGCACTGGAGGAAACATTTTCCATTCACAAAATAGGAATGGATGACTGGTTAAGTGAGAAAGATAGCTGCTGCTTTAAGCTATTAGCTTGTGGGGCATGGGTGTTGTTGGCCAGCCAGCATGTTGCTGCTTAAGTTGCCCTTGATGGTAGTGAGCTTTCTTGAACTGTTGCAGTTTACGTGCTGTAATCTGTTGAGCTCAAGTATAGCTTGAAAGCAGCAAAGAAAAATCTAAAAAGCAGGACCCACAGAAATGGGCAAAGTTCAGGAGCTTGGGCAATATCAACCATACACTTTTGTATAAGTGTACAAACTACACAAGTGCTGGAGTCATAGCAATTCTCCACATGCAGCATCCAACCTCAGTCCCAATCCATGATGGATTAAATCAGTGGTAAAACACTAAGAGCTGCATCTTGTGCTTTGAATGCCCTAGTGCGCATGCAGAAGAGGCCAACTGGAACATTCCGGTAGTGTTTTCACCCTGCAGCTACACTAGTAAATTCCATTAGGAACAAAGAAAATTACAGCACAGGAACAGGCCCTTCAGCCCTCCAAGCCTGCACTGATCCAGATCCTCTATCTAAACCTGTTGCCTATTTTCCAAGGGTCTGTATCCCTGATCTCCCTGCCCATTCATGTATCTTCCTAGATACATCTTAAATGATGCTATTGTGCCTGCCTCTACCACCTCCACTGGCAACATGTTCCAGGCACCCACCACCTTCTGCGTGAAGAACTTTCCATGCACATCTCCCTTAAACCTTGAAATAGTGACCCGAGTCCCCCACTCTGGGAAAGAGCTTCTTGCTATTCACCCTGTCCATACTTCATGATTTTGTAGACCTCAAATCAGGTCTCTCCCCTCAACCTCCATCTTTCTAATGTAAAGAATCCTAATCTACTCAACCTCTTCCTAGCTAGCACCCGCCATACCAGGCAACATCCTGGTGAACCTCCTCTGGAGAGGATGCAAAGCATCCACATCCTTTTGTTAAGGTGACCAGAACTGTACACAGTATTCCAAGTGTGGTTGAACCAAAGTCCTATACAACTGGAACATGACCTGCCAACTCTTGTACTCAATACCCTGTCTGGTGAATGAAAGCATGCCATGTGCCTTCTTGACCACTCTATCTGCCTGCGTTGCCACCTTCAGGCTACAATGGACCTGAAACATCCAGATCTCTGCAGTTTTCCCCAGGGCTTTTCCCAGGTGCTGTGAGGATCGTTGATTTTCTGCAGAGCATCGTGTAGATGCTACACGACCGACTGACCGACTATCCTCCCGGGAACCTAGGCGGGGGAGCTATTTGTGGCAAGAAATCACAGCTTCAGATCCGCTTGAAGCCATTGTTGGTGGTGAGTAGAGTTCAGTTTCTGGCAGATGGTAACCCCAAGATGTGGGTAGTGGGAAATTGATGGTAGCACCATTGAATGGTAAGGAGTAGTGGTCCAATTGCACTAGAAACAAATTGTTTTGATGATTCAAGTTACTCACCTAGAACTAAACCATTAACTGTTGGATTGAATTCAAAGTTAATCTAATCTACTTACCATAACCAGGTTTACCAATGAGACTGCATTAAGACTGATGTTCCACAACCACATAACTCCAAACATGTTGGTTATGATCATAGAAATGGTGATGCAGACCATCATGGCAGACCAAACTTCACAGCCCAGCAGGATTGTAGTCACAATGAATACTGCTCCCAGTGACATGCAAATGTTGAAAATAGTGTCTTTCACTATTGTGAAATATTGTTCATAAAATACATAAAACACACTGTAAACAAAAACAGAACAAAGCAAAGTGAGTGCTTGTAAAAAGCTGCATTTAAAATTTTAAAACAGAATGAAAAATTCAGTAGAAGAAAAGAGGCTGGAAGCACTTCGATTTATGGCTTCAGCATGGAGGAAAGCTATTCCTGTCTCTTGGTTTGGGGACAGAAGACATTGGGATTTATGTCAACACCAACACAATGGTGGTTTATATAGAGGCCCTAGTGGAAGTTGGTTTTCCAGGATCTATGGCTAGACCTGAACCCTTTCTGCAAAGATGACTTTGTTCAGGACAAATGACATTGTGCTGAGTGTCTGTATGATTAGAGTAGCTGACATTTCAAATTGCTGTCTGGATGATTTAGTCTAACCTCATGAAAATCTGTAATTGTGGGTAAGAGTAAAAAATGTTGCGTGCAGCTAGAGTCCTTGGGAAATTGACTTTAGATAGGAAAAGCCCATTTCTGCTGTTGTCTTGAGCTGGTAAGTTTGCAACCAAAAAAAAAACCTTGTCACCATACCAGGCACAAATAGTGCCCTGATGCTCCCAAAAAGGTGTTCTGTTCCAGTTTGCTAGGGTGGGTGGCATTGCTTCTGAATTTGTTTTAGTGTTTGGTACATAGAATCACGACAGTGTGGAAACAGGTCATTCAGCCTAACAAGTCCACACCGTCCTGCCAAAGAACATCACACCCAGACATGTTATCCTACCCCCGATTTCCTAGGTCAAACCCACCTAACCTAATCATTCCTGGGCAGTTTCCCCACAGCCAATCCCACCTACCCTGCACATCTTTGGACTATAGGAAGAAACTAGAGCACTGAGGAAACCCATGAGTCTTGAGACAGATCACTGGACCCAAAACATTAAAACTTTCTCTTCAAATGCTGTCAGACCTGTTGAGCTTCTCCAGCTATTTGCTTTTGTTCCAGCCTTCTAGGCTACTCTCCCATCTGCTATAGGTGATCTATGTACTGCAGGAGTCTGTATACTCGAAGTGCTTTAGCCAAGGACAGACTTCTTTGGAACAAACGGTTATAGTTACCTATATGGGAAGACACGATAGCCTTTGTCAGAAATGCCCATGGCTTCTGTTATGTTTTCTGCCAGACTCCGTGCATTCTTGGCAGCAGCAATGAAGTCAGCTGATGTTTTCAGTACTGTGTGGAATGTCATGAAATAGGTGGCTCCCACAGTGGTGTTGTTTTCAAGCAAGTTCACAGCAGAGCTGTATGCTGCATGGCCTCTACGCAGAAAGAAACAATAGTTTAGGACACCATTGAAAATCTTCTGCAGTGGGCTTAAGTGCTCAATTTCTTATGAAAAGTGAGGTCTTCATTATCATCAAGTGATAATTTGAAGAGGCAGTTGGGAAGAAGCCTTCAGAACTACCCTAAAACTAGACTGCAAACACCTGCTGAAATCCAGAAGTCATGAAATACCCATTAAATGCAGGTGTTGAATATTGACATTGGAAGAGAAACTAGATCACCAATAGTATTTAAGACCGGTGATAAAGTTGAGATCGGTTTTAGATTTAGAGAACAAAAAAGGCGATAGCTGGTGTTGCAAGTGAAAGCAGAATGAGCATATTCTAATGCAATCCTAGCTGCTGGCAAGATTTGTGATGTTGCTGTTTTTAAAAAAAAAAAAAAAAAAAAACGCAAGCTGCCAGTGTTTCTGACAAGTTGAGCAATTGAAATTCTGATTTAATAAGTTTATCAGAGCAATACTTGGACAAATTAAGCTCACCCCCAACTTCATACCAAAAAGCTTGCTGTTCATTAAGTGCTATTACTGAAGCTAGTGTCCCAAATCTTAAGCCACCAATGCAGCATTGCTTAACATTAATTCTAAGCTTAAAAGTTTGCAACACACTTGTAAGTTCTTTGGATGCCAGACTTGCTTCTGGGAGCAGTGCCAGTTAACCAAAAGTTCAAAAAATTCAGCAAGTTTTATATTTCAGACATTTTCCATATCAGCTGGGAAGGACAGGCCAAAAGACAGCCAAAATTCAAACTGATCACCATTTCCATTTTGAAACAGTGCCATAGGATAAAGTCCTGCTTTCTACCCATTTTGGGGCACTTAGCCATGTTAAAATAGTTTAGATTCTAGCCAGGTCTAATCTCACTTGACCAACAGTATCTCATGGCTACCATCAGAATTGAATCAAGTGGCAAGTTGTAACCTCTTCATTACAATCACCAATTAGAATCACAAATCCTAGTTCAGTGATAACAGGAGCGTGTGCCAGGAGCAGCACCAGCTATTTCTAAATGTGGTGTCAAACAGACATTACCACATGTATGCCAAATGGCAGTTAACTCTTAAATGCTAAGAACCACACCATTAACA